AACATGTGACCAAGCCATGGCAGCGGTGACTTCTCTCTCTCTAAAGATGCAGCGGCTGCATATCAAGGCTCTCGAGGATCTCAGGACCATATCGACACGCGTAAGGCCAGCCACTCGTCTAAGAAAGCCCATTTCAACAGCTTGTACCCGAATTCAAGGCCTTTCAGCCATGGCCCACTGTTCATGACCGTAGGTAAGCATGAGGATAAAGATCGACTTGAATCCCGAGAGCTTAGTTTTCAGATTCAGCTCTGCTTCAGTAACAATGATTCGGACTATTTATTCTGAACGCCACGGGCTACTCCAATTCGCCAGTCGATCTTTTTCTCGAATTTTCCATCACTAGTAAATATAGTTCCGAGGTACTTGAACTTCTCCACCTGCGCCACTGCCTCTCCGTTAATCTGAAGAGAGAAATGGGCAGGAGAACGAGAAAGCACTAGGCTTTTCGTTTTAGATGCGTTCACGCGCATGCCGGTCACGTCGCACTTGGCTGCGAACCTTTGTAAGGAGCACTGGAGATCCGTTTCAGAAGATGTCAATAAAACAAGGTCGTCTGCAAACATCAACCTTCTCGCTCCACATCTCCTTCACCGATACACTCATCGCCTTGGCTGCTCCTGACTATTCCATCTGTGTACAACACAAGCAAGAGAGCGAACAGGACGCAGCCTTGGCGGAGATCAGTGCCAACGCTGAAGGGCTTCGACTTAACGCCATTTACTCGCTGCACCTGCTATCAAAATACAGTAATTGGATGGCCCGTAACAGCTGGCTCTCTGCCCCTTATGTTCGCAGGCATGACCACAGGCTGTTGCGTGGGATCCCGTCATAGGCTTTTTCTACGACAACAAAACACATAAACACCAGATGGGCGAACACCCACGATTTCTCAACGGTCTGGTGTAGGGCCACTACTGCCATGAATGGAGCCGGAAGGCGCACTGTTTCTCTTGTATCTTGGAGTCAGTTGTTCTGCGGCACTTTTCTAGCACATTTTGGGTTGACTTTACCCGGAGGCTCAATCAGATAATGCTCTGATAATCGAAGCACTCCGTGCGATTTCCTTTCTTGAACATGGGTGCAACAACTCCCGTTCTTGAGTCTGTTTACGTCGTCCCTTTAGCCATGCGAGTTTGACAAACATGTGCAAGCCAGAACATGCCTTGTTCGCCTGATGCTCTGAGCATGCTCAGGGCGGATATCATCAATGCCGGCAGCCTTTCCAGTTTTCAAGCATTTCACAGCTTGTGTAATTCCATCTACAGTAATAGTAATATTCGTTTCTGCTCCTCTACAGGCTGCTCTTTCTTTGGTTGCTCGGGGATAAGGAGTTCCTCAAAGTACTCTCTCCATCGCTGAAGAATGCCCTTATACTCGGTTAAAGGGTGTCCAGACCTGTCCTTCAAGACTCTTAGACTGCCCTTCTTTTCAACTCGGATCCTGTGAATGGTCTGCCAGAATACCTTCTTGGCCGTGCGGAAATTCGGTTCCAACACCTCACCGAACTTCTTCCAAGAATCAGCTTTGACTTTCGCTACTGCTCCCGATTTGCGCGTTTCAGCATATCGCACGCGAGTAGAAGGCTCTTTGGTTACAAGCAATTTCTTAAATGCAGCAGTTTTTTCTTTGACTGCCAGTTGTACCCCTCGTGTCCACCAGGAAGTTCTTTTCTGACTTCTGTGCGGCGAGCCAACCCGTTTGAATGCGAAGCATTCGGCTGGGTCCTCGAGGATGCCTCTCTTAAGGAGCTGCCATTTGGTTTTCACATCAGTGTTCATCACCGCGATCTGTTCAAACCGTCGTGCGATGTTGTTTGCAATTTTTGCTCTCCTGTCCACCGAAGATAATGTTTCCAATTTGAATCTCTAGTTGGTTATATCTCCAGATTTTCGTATGGTACTCCATTTCTTACAACGTAGCGTGCCAGCATCAAAATGGTGATCGGTTGATAGGTCTGCACCTCTCTTAATGTGTACATCCATTAGTGAACGTCTTGTATCAGAAGATGCGGTTATCAAATCGATCATCGGCTTCTGCGCACAAGCTTCCCTGTACCAGGTACACTGATGCACTCTTCGGTGCTCGAAGAGAGTGTATGAGTACATAATACACAATCCGTTATTTGCATAAAACCGCAACAACTTTATGCCTTGATTTTGTCTGAATTACTTCATGTCTTTGTACATTTGCAGATGAAAGAATGAATTAACTTTATGGTTGGTTTAAAACTTTTTTGATAGTCAGAATGCAGGTGGGAGACCTTTCAACATTAATACACAAGATGGAAAATCATTTACGTTTAGAGAAGAACTAGTACTTCTGCGACTCTGTGACCGATGTGTTGAGGCTAAATTTTTATAAAAACTACAAACGCAAGGAACGTCACAAACCAGGTACGTTATATGGAACCAAATAGCATGAGGTATGTTCACAGCAAACAAAGAAGTATCACAATAGCTGTATTTACTAACCCGATTCTTCTTTTTCTTCCAACATGAGATGGGATAATGGGTGTGTTGCAAATAGTTCTACACCATTTCCATCGTAAACGAGTACTGTTGTATTTTAGATCTGCTTCGAGCTCATCATTTTTCACGCCGTTAGAAACTTCCTCCTTAGGTTTCAAATTCATCACCATTTTTTATTGAAAGCTGCTTCTTCTCAGTCTTCTGACATAGTCATCCTACTTTGGTCAATGTTCCTTTATTCCGTCAATTATTGAACGCTCCAAATAGCTTTTTTGCTGAGTCATTTTATTTAGCCTGACGATTCCTTTGTTCTTCTTTAAGCGAATAATCTTCATTTCCAATAACATGCATTCTTCTTTCTAAATATTACGTTTCAAAGCCGCGTATGAACACTGAACATCTAGTTTCACCTAACAGTACGTTATTCATTTGCATATGTTATTGCCTCTGAATTTTGTTCAAATCACCCCGTATTTTGAGACTGAACATTATCCATTGTTGACTACAAATGCGCATTCTCCCTCACGGGGTGCACCTGTTCTGAAGCTTGAGTCAGTCATTGTTCGTCAGTTAGATGCTTGTGCCTGTACCTTCTGTTTCTAAATACATCAAAATTTTTGCCACGTTGAATTTTAATCTAACAGTATCGGGAGCTTTGCATCACCTGAATCAGATTTTGTGTAATCGATCAGTAGTACTTTGTCTGCTACATTTGTACATGGCGAAATGTCATTTCTTTAAGTCATTTGTTTATAATTGCTTCCTTTGCGCTAGAAAGTATGACCATGTGCCGTATATCCACGTGGTAGAATATACAATACGGTATTATGTGGTATTAAACAAACGCAGCGACATGTCGCAGTCTTGTTTGGCTTTCTTCATAATCTTGAGCATAACTTGTTTGATTTTCTTCTCCGTTACTTTAAGAACATTGTGATTGCACAAGAATTCGTTGTAATAATATAGTCCTTGTCATCGACTCTTCTTGAAACTCTATTGTTCTCCTTAAATCCACTTGCCAAACATTGTAAGATGCATGAATGATGAAGAAGCTGCTGTGTAGTATCTTTGTTTACATTTATGTCGATGTTTATGTGTGCGTTTCACTGCGTAAGAGTCAGGCATCATCGATTGAACTGTTTAATTCCCTGTCGTTCTTGCCGTAACGTAATTTTCACTCATCTTTTTGAAACGACAATTAGAAAGCTATTTTCGGATTATGTTTTCATTGAGGTTGACAGTAAGGTATAATTCCTTGTCACACGCTTTTCCGATATTTGTTTATTAACACGCTCATGGTATTAAGGCCATTTTTGATATTGTTACTGTAAAATCTGAGAATGAAAATAATGCTGGCTGTTTGTGGATTAACAGTGATCTAGGTTTTGTTCTAGCCAATAAAATTGTGTTAAGCTTTTGCGAAACAAATCGATGCACTGTACATGCTGTACTTGACATTCCTTGAGTTGGTCCACCGTCGCACAATATATCTGATTATCTATCAGTGTAGTATTACGCAGATTGCAAAACTGATGGAAGGACCATACGGTAGAACCTCAAGCGCTGTCCGAAGCGAAGGCGGCCTCTCAGAGTGGTTCAGCCTATCATCCGGCGTCAGTTATGGCGAAATGCTCTCGCCATTGTTATTCGGCATTGTGTTTAACTGTTATGCGAAGAATTGTCATCTCCAATGAAACAGAAGGGTTTATCATGCCCTCAGCCAGTGTGTGCAGAAAAGGGGAAGAAGTGGGGCAGTGCATCATCCCAACAAAAACATATGTAAGCAAAGCATCAGCAATGATCGACCCCCGTTAAATGAAATGGAATGGTGCGACGATGGAACAGGCCTACCGTTTTAAATATCTTACTTTAGTAGTCATCATTAACGACGTGAGCTGCGACCCTGGCAATGGTTGGCACATAGGGCTCGTAACAGTGAACTTTGTGGTTGCAAGGAATGTAAAATGACCAGTCTATAAGGATTAAGACGAAGGTTGTCATCTTAAAAGTAATGGTTTTCTCATTTCTATTATACTGCAGTCCTGAGATGCCACGAAAGTCTGCTTAACAGCCTACAGCAGCGCTGCCTGTGCAGTTCTGAAAATTCAGTGGCTTCATAGATCATTTCTGAAAATCTCCAGATTGGAAAGCCTTTCGAAGAACTACGAGATCGATGCTTCCGATAGTTTGCTCACAAACAGTTCAGAAAACAGACGTGACAAGAAATTTTTTCTTTAGGGAACCGAACACGCGATGTAAATAATGTAAAGGTCAGTTTAAAAGCTGCAATGTCCATTAGGAGCAGATCTGCACGACAGGGAGTATTTCCTTTGTCGAGGCCAATTAATGCCTAAAACATTCCAAGGAATCATCTCCTGTCGAACTTCATTAACCTAAGTTAAACGAAGCTGCACTGCAGATGACGATAAGAGATAACAGCAGCTACATTCGCTAGTGTCATTGAAGTGCTGCTTGTTTAAATAATCCCCAGCGCATCTGGGGACAAGGATTACTGTATAAATATCTTTTAAACCGATAGAATTATGCTTATCTTATCTCCATCGTATATGGCTTGCATTGCAGTTTTTTGAGTAATCGAGCAAGGGCTCGCACGCTGCGTCCTTTTCCTAGATAGCACTTGAGCACTCGTTTCTTGTAGGTATGTTATATACAATTTGTCAGACGTTTCGAATCGTGCCGGATCCATTTAAAAGCAGTAGTGCGCACACGGTTTACCTTGTTAACCTTGTGCACATTTTGGCCCCTCAAGTTGGATCCAGTACTGTCGAAACTTTTAACAAATTGGACATAATACGGTATAAGCGTTTCAAGGACCCATGATAAAGCACCCTTGTTGATTTGCTTTCTCTTAGATGTGTCAGAAATATGGAATGCTTAATTTTTTTGTCTACTTTTCGTGTTGCTTTCTGTTTCATTTTGATTTGAACTTTAGCTTAACTCCTTTGGTTTGTTGGATGAAGCGGCGGTCTTGCACTTGTTTAAGTGCGTACTTTCTGGCCTCGGCCGTCATGGCCAGCATCAGTATGTGTCGATGATGGTTACGGAGCTATCACGCTACCTGTACGAAACTTTGGTAAAACATTTTCCGTGTTTATTCTTCTTCACTTGTAGAGGTGAAGTTAAGCGCGACATCGGACTGTTTGATTTTCAGTTACCGCTTAAGTGTGTATCGGTCTTTCTTAAATTACCTTTTTCTTGTGCATGTTACGCATTGGATTGTATACTCTGAACAGTCTGTTGAGTCTTCTGATTGGTTATGCTGAGTATAACTGATGAAAACGAACGGCCGAATGTGATATGCACAGCAGTGTAATATCATGCAGATTAGGTTGCGTTTTGCACTTGATGGATGTAATAAGATCCATGGCCGAATGGCCCTATACAACGGTTGGTTTGACACCAGCTTATTCTCAAGGAGACATTGACGTGGCCCTACGAATTTTGTTAAACCACGTTGCAGCACAACGAAAATCACACGCTTATGTGCTGTTAGAACCTCACGTTAGCTGTTGTTGTTCACCTTTGTTTAATGTTAATGCGAGTCAAGTATGGTCATGTAACATATTTCTGTCGCCATAACATTTTATAGGCATATATCGCTTTTCTGTTCTTATCTTTTTAAAAGCATACTTGTCTTGAAGGTATCCTCATATCCTAAAATCCGGGAGGAATTGCGTGCTTTGCCAGAATTCTGTGAACAAGACCTAGAGGTGAACAAGACGAGTGATGTTCAGTATAACTGAAAGAACTTTTCAGAAATATGAATACAGAGCGTTTTCTTCTAAGTTCAAAGCGTTCAAATCGAATAGGGTGAAGCGTGAACTCTACAGGAAAGTTGTCAAAGGAGCATTGGGGGTGAGTTTGTTTTTCATTTTGTTGTTTGCTATGCAACATTCGAATAGCATTTCTGCTCTAGAGTAACATCATTGCTATCAATCGTTTCTCTTTCCGTTTCGAACATACAAAATGGCGCTGCGGTCTGTGAAATGCTTCTTAAACTTTTAAGCTCGTTCAACAACCTAATATCTTTGATTCTTCAAGCGCGAAAAGCTAATGATAATTTCGTTTGTGTTGCTGCTTTTCATTTTGCATTTGTGACCCACT